GTTTAAAGCTGAGCACTCATCTTCGTCTAGTGCCGAGGTAAAAAATTGTGGAGCTGTACCTCCACTCCCCCATACGAGTATGTTTTCATGGCATAATGCTTAACTACTCGTAATTAAGCACAGGGACAACTTTAACCTTACCTGACTTCTCTCCGGTGCTGTGCAGGCGGTAGCGATAGCACTGGCAGGACCCCTCCAGAGTTCACCGTTCAGGAAGCTGGTTGGTCCTCTTTGTGCAAATTCTTGACCCAGAACGCCGGCGTTTAGCCGTGTCACACGGTTCCCATTTCCTATATAAGGCACTTCTGCTGTTGCGTAGCACAACCAAGACTTCTCGTGTCTCTACGTTTATTGATATATAAAAGTTATCACACCTGGCCACAGTGGACGAACGTTCAGCGCAGCTGCTTAGAATTTGCTCCGGAAGCCAGCATCATAACCGAAGTTCCTCGCCACTTTCCATAGGCCACCGAGACATTTTACTCTTACCAAGTCTACAGAGCACACCCCTTCGCAAGTTCGTCGGTTCAAGGATGTCCCATCCCAGTCGTTTACGAAATCCAAATATTCAAAAGGACCCTCTACTGGGACTGGTCCTGTGGCTGTTGAATCCAGTTCACACTCGTGTGCACTCCTCCTTTATGATACATTTCAATCCAGGCTTTAATAGACATTAGTAACATTAATCATCCTGGTGGTAAAGGGCGTCCAGCCAGCGCGTAGGGCTGACAACCTCACCGCCATCTGTGATCCTGTTGTCTAAAAAATGTGGGAGCCTCGACGTCTCACAACCCTATGGGCCCCCACGGTCTGTTACAGGGATAGCTTTACTCTACCTTTCGTCTGTGCCAGGTGCTCGCTTCAGTTTTTGCCACAAAATGTTTCTGCATGTAATATATCTCGTTCCTGCTACAGATATCGCTCGTTTGGTTACAGTGGTGATAGATGGTTAAGAATAAGCTGTGAAGGTTCTCACTGTGTAATTTTCTCCAGCCTCCTGTTTCTTCACGTCTCTAAGGTCGAAGTGTCCTCAGCGCCTGATATCCATCACATGAGAGACTGTCCCTTTTTACGAGCCCGCTCCTGGCGATGCGTGGTTCTGAGTCCGAGACTGCGTTCCATGCCCATGTGCAAACAATCTCCATCTTTTTATTGTTTTCAGTTGCGTGAAGCACGTAACTTAGGGTATAACACTGAATTGGGAATGAAGCGGTCGTGGCTTATTGTAGGGTGTTATTCCGATATTCGCCTGCAGGAAATTAACAAAATCAAAAAATATAACAACCGAACTCCGGACAGAGAATCAAAGCCATAATCAGACACGAAGCGCGTACTAATCAACTGCACGGCGGTCGCTGTTAATTTGTTGTTTTGAAAATACAATTTCTTAGGTCTGAATTTCAGAGGAAAAAAAAATAAATCGAATAGGCACTTCATAACTGGGCAGTAAGACCCACTTAAATCAGGAACAGTGCTTGTTTGTAAACGGTTATCTTCTGTGATATGGCACCGTACAGTCTGGCGTAAGTCATTGGAAGCTTCAAAAGTGTTGCATATTTCATGCTGGCTGCTTGCTCGGCTTACTCAACCCTGAAGATTGGGGCGAAATGGCGCTCCTTAACGTCGATTGAGTTTCACCGGACTACACGGCGTCATATTGTAGAAGATTAAACTCTTCACAGCCACCGGCTGAGAACTCAAATTATTTATAATTATTTTACATTAACTATTCCATAATAATTTATTTGCATCATATTGCCCTTTTCCCAGATGATGTATCAGTGGCTGATCCTGTATTGTTTCTTTGCAACCTTGGATGTGTAGACAACACAACTGACACGCCGACTTGCATGTTTCCTGTAGGTGACAGAAGTGTCTCAGCGTAACTCCGGTGGAAGTGGCCAGGCGAATGGCACATCGAGTTCTCCCAGCTCTGGGGTCAGCAGTCAGGTGACATCCAGTAACGGCTCCACTGCTGCCGCTGTAAGCGTCAAGGCGGCTTTAGCTGCCATCCAGGCGGGACAGCTGTCCTTGAATCAGGTAGCTTTACAGTCAACTTTGACATCAGTTGTAATTTTTAGGATGACTCGGTCACTCTGGCTAACCAAGATTGGATACCATTGTCTCCAGGCTTGGCGTGCCCAGTCACCTGGAGCTCTTTTTCTCTCAGTAATACAGCTGGAGCGTGAAGCTGATAACTCATCTCGGTTCAGTGCTGTGCCACCATTGCATGAAGGTTTATCTCTACTCTGCTTATCTCCATTGCATACAGATAAATTTGTGTACCTGTAGATATCGGAAGAAAATCAGTGAGGTTTGAATATAATTATTTCTTATAAACATTTTTCTATACTTCCCTTTTGTGGCTAATTCTTCACTGCCTATGCACAGATAGTTTAGTCAACAAAGAAGCAGGAGTTAAGATTAGCTTCTTATATACAGTAGAACTTGGTTATAACGTCATCAAAGGGACCTAAAAATAGTGTCGTTATAAACGAATGTCGTTGTAACCGAAATGGGCACTTCCACAGTAGCCTTATGTTAGTCACGTAAAAATCTACCAAAAACCGAGTTGCATTTTTAGTGAAATACGTAGTTAAGTACAGACTAACGTAACATTAACGTGGAATTGCCATAATGTGTAATATCAAAGACATATTACAGCGCTTTTCACTGACAATACACACAGCACTAATACTGTATATTAAAGGTAGGCCCACTCACCAAATTACAGTAGATTACATCAATTGTTGTGCCTTACTGTACCTAGATACGAGTACAGTAATCAGTTATCTTCATCTGTTTCCTGTTACTTGCCCAATACACACTTTCTAAATTACGTTCAATGTCCATATCAGAGAAATTCAGGAATGAAAATGACGTTACATACGAGGTTGATGCATTTGTGCATGTTGTACTAAGCAAGGTATAAAAACAGTTGCTTTATGAGGAATTGAATATTTAACGCAATAGACAAGGTGTCGCAGAAAGCGATGTTGCTATAACCAAGTTTTACTGTACTTGGTAAAGTATCTGCACAATACCCCATGACATGAAGTTGATACCAATATTCGGGGGAGATCATTACAGACTGAGGATGCTTGCGCATCCTCAGTAATGAAGGAGATGTGGAGGGCTGAAATTGTTGACAGAACAGTGGAAGTAAGTTTGCTTTTTAAAATTTTGATTGCAGCTGTTTTGGAATGGTTGTTCCTTAATGAATCCTAAAAGAATAAAGTTGGAGGAATTAGTATCCAGGCTGCTGGATGGCCAGCTCTGGCCTTATGCATGGAGACATCATACTGGTCAGAAACTTCACACAAACCAAATGTATCGTTGAGGAGGTCCAACATACTTTCCTGATGTACTGTGCGCCCATTCTATACATTCACAGACTGTATATGTAGTAAGAGAGCTGTCCTGGGATATAATGCTGTGTAGTCCACTGAAAGACAACTGACATTTTGGAGGAACATGTTGCTATCATCTTCAGTGTCAAGAAATAAGGCAAGCAATAAGCCAGCATGAAAGAGGCAGCAAGCAGAGCTGTAGTTTCTTTCTTGGCTTGTTCTTCAACCCTAAAAACAAAGCGACATGTTCCTCCAAAATCTCAGTTGTTACATCCCAGAAGATATAACTATAATTTTCCCTGCAGTTCTGTATGGGTGTGAAACTTGGTCTTTGACATTAAGGGAGGAACATAGACAGGGTGTTTGAGAACATGATACTGAGGAGAGTTTGAACTGAAGAGGGATGAAGTGACAGGAGGTTGTAGAAAACTGTAAAATGAGGACCTTCATAACTTGTACTCTTCACCAAATATAATTAGAATGATCAAGTCAAAAAGGATAAGGTAGACAGGGCAGGTAGCACGAATGGGGGAGAAGAGGAATGCATATAGGATGTTCGTGGGAAAGCCAGAAGGAAAATGACCACTAGGAAGATCAAGATATATGTAGATGGATAATATTAAAATTGAACTTAAGATAGATAGGATGAGGTGGTATGGGCTGGATTGACCTGGCTCAGGATAGTGACCAGTGGAGGGCTCTTGTGAATATGGTAATGAACCTACGGGTTCTATAAAATCCTGGAAGTTCTGGAATGCTCAGAAGTGCTCAGTTCCATCGTAGTTAGTTATAGTGGCATGAAACAGAAGCCTAATATAGAGCATGCTCTTATGTGTATGCTACAGCTGATGAGCCTGGGGGCTCAGGGTCAGCAGCTGTTCCTGCAGAACCAGCTCACTGCAGCTGCAGTTGGGCAGATCCCTTCATTAACATCACCACTCCCTAATCTGGCTGCTCTTGGGCCTCAAGAACTGCAGACACTGCAACAGACACTGCAACAGCATCAGCAGTCTCTACAGCAGCAGCTCCAGCAGTACGTCTTGTTCCAGCCTGGAACTGGAGCTCAGCTCCCAGCACAAGCCCAGTTCTTCCTTCAGAACCAGGTGAGCCCAGAGGTTACACTCCTTGGAGGACCTAGAGTGCTTATATGAATACCATGACCATGTTGGATGTGGTAAACTTCTAGTTATCTAGTATCCAAGCACGTGAAATTCTTATCATTCAACTGCCAAAAATGTAAAAGAAAATTTACCACTTCCATGTAGTTATTCAGATACATGTTGTAAGATACATATGTTCACCTGCCACACAGTAGTTCTTTCAGCTACCATCAGCAATGCTAGATAGCATCCTTGCTCACGAGGGTGCCATTACAGTAGAGCCCATTTATAAAGCATTCTAGTTTCTGTTGAGTAAATCCAACATATGTATTTTTGGGACCAGAACTTGGCCCAGGAATTTCGGATCTGTAGTGACTATTAAACAACTGAATAAAGATTAATATATGATGTGTAATATGTCAGAGGGATGTGAAATCTATTGAACCAGCTGAGGTCAGACCGCAATTGGCAATATTTTATATTTAGAGTGATGGGTGAACAGCAGGCGATAATTTCTTAACAACACTAAATTCCGACTCTGTACTTACAAGCTTAGTCAGGCACTGCATAAAACTAGTAACCAAATGACTATACAAGCTAACATAGCTCTTATGTACAGCTTTGTACTTTATTACTACTTAAAACTTCAGATCTGCTTCTTCTTACGTTCTGTCCTGGCACATCTTCTGCATATAAAAGTGTTGATGTTGGTGGCTGGTTGCAGGGGCTGCTACAGCAGAGCTTTGCTCATCAAAACCTCCCACAGCGAGGTGTTCCTGTAGTGTCCCAAGCAGCACAGGTAACCAGCATATGGATGCTTGCTTATCTGTGTTTCTCCAGATTGCATACCGGATGATTCTTTCTTTGTTGGCATGCAAGTTTCCCTTACATTCTAGCACTGTATAGTCCTGCAAATATTAGTAGTTACTCCATGAAAATATTCGTAATGACTGAGCTTCCTTAGTGAGCACTGGATTGTTCTTCATTAAAACTACTTCCACAACATATTTTAATTCCTAGATATTCATCTTCAGGTGGGTCGTGATGTACTAATTTCCACAAGATATCCTACAAAAATAAAACCTATAATATGTATAACTATAATACGCGGTGCTAATTGCCAATTAAAGTATTGGTCACTAATTACAACCAGTGGGCATGGTTGTATTTTAACAATGAAATACCACATTTCTCTAACCAATAAAGCAGCACCATTTCAGTTGTAGCTGTGTAGTTCCCTTACAATATTGCAGCTACATGATTTTCTAGTTCCAGTTTTAGGGTATTGTTATACTAGTATTTGTTTTATAATTAATTTACAATGGCAGACTAAGAAGCGGAGAAGTAAATATCATGCAGAAAATTTGTTCAAGAAGCTCCCAGAATTCATCAGTAACTTAATATCACACTTAAAGCTTAAAAGTAAAAGTAAAGCAATCCCTGTAACAGGCCGTGGAGGCCTATAGGGTTCTGGGATGTTGAGGCCTCCACATTTCCTACACAATCGGCTCACAGATGGCTGCAAGTTTGTCAGCTCTATGTGCTAGTCATCCTTTACCCCCAGTAATATTCCCGGTACTCATTTCTGTTAGAGGCTGAGTCAACCCCAGAGGCATAGTGTGGCTGGAAGGATTAGGTAAGTTGAAAAAAAAATCCAGTGTGCTCATCAGGATATGAACCCGCAACCTTCCGACTTGTAGCATAGTGCCTCAACCAACTACACTACTGTGTGCCCCCTCACACTTATAGCTCAGTTACATTTAACCATTCCAAAATTATTTCCTTCAGCTGCAATGCACTGCCTCCCTTTGTCTTTAAACTTTTGGAAGGACGGTTTGTAGGGTGCCTGTCAGGAACCTCCACAGTGATAACTCTCATTTTGTTCCATTGACATACCCATAAACCAAAATCTCATTTTTGGTCACGATGTTTTTTAAAAAAATAGTCATAATTATTTGCCCATTGCAGGAGATAGATAGAATTATGTGATCTTAATCGAGGACCTTGACACAACATTCACTGACAACCACATCTTCCATTAAAATCATGTGATATGAGTCAATGAATGTGTGTGTCTTCTTCTTCTTCTTCCCCCAATGCTGTTGGTCAGAAGTTTTCACAGGCATCTTTTGCCGTAACAATAAAAGAATCTTTTCTTGCAGTTGAAGGTCAGCCTTTCCTCTCATCACCATTTGTCAACTTTCTTCCATTTTGAAAATATTTGTGTCTTGCATAGATCATTGTCTTACTTAAAGAATCATTACTCTAATCTTCACACTGTATTCTGCAGGTTTCTGCAGCTGTTCTACCCAGTTTGACACAAAAATTCACACAAGCTGTTCACTCCATTAGGGACACCATATTATAATGTAACAAAACTGAATGTGCATAATAATACAAATGATTATAACACTGCAAAACATCAACCTGGATGTTTGGTACAAATTTATATGTGTAGGTTATAGTCGCAAATATCAGCCATTCCTAGTGCATCCACATGGGCATGACTGGTGGCACATCACATGGTCACTTCAGGAACAACATCAACAAAGGAGAGATATGATTTCATAGTTTACAGTTACTTCAACCCAGAAACAGATGCTTGGTAGTCATTATGTTATGTTGCTGAAGTGTGACAGCGCACTGCAGAAGCTGTTTATTCTAATTTTTATGTTTTTGGACAGCAGACGAGAAGACAAAAGGTTCTGGACTGTATGATAGCAATCATTACCCGAGTTCAGTCTCCTCTTAATTTCCTCCTGAATCAGGTTTCGATCTGTTATTTGTTCCCAAATACCTAAACTGTGCCACATTTTCAAAACATCTGTTTCCTATCTTTATATCATGATTTTGCCCTGCATTTTGGTGACGAGACAGCAACATGCAAGGAGCCTGCAAGAAGAAAATTTGCAGTTGTGATGGCAGAGTATGAAAAGATACCAAAACAGCTTCAACATATTATTTAGATGATAGACCACTGTAGGTCACGGTGCAAGGGCCAAGAAATCCCACCCCTTATACCGTCATTCATAGATAACACAAGATTATACATTAGACATAGGCTGCAAAAACCTGAGATGTCAAAATTAAAACAAATTAGCAGAAAAGCAATACATCTTGGGTTGTATGGCATTTTGACTACTAGTGAGAGAGCAATGAAAATTTGCAAGCATATGTAGTATACACACACACACACACCCATAGGATGGTTTGAATTGCCTCTTTTTATGTGTAGCGAACTGAAGAATATGTTTCCTTGCTCCCTGTTCCCACACAGGCTCTACTGAAGATCATGAGCACACTTGCTTTACGTTAAAGCAGAGGTTCATGTACAAAAACAAGTACTGTCTTGAGTTACTGGAGATGTCCCGTCACTGTTCCATGAAATCCCCACAGTGACCTCTGCATTTTTGCCAGCACTGCACTAGCTTCAAATTCAGCTGTATGTTAGAAGTGTGTCTGAGTATTTTGCAACTATGTATGCATGGCTTGCTAGATTGCCACATTTTTTTGTAGTGCTGGCCCTCTAGTGATAAAGATCCTAACAGGTGGTTAGTGAACGGGTGAAGTCCTCACTGTAGGGAGGATTCGGGAGTATTTCCAACAGGACTTCTCAATTTTTCCCCAGTGTCAGGTTTTCAGTGTGAGGGCATGCACATCATGCCAAAGACTGGTGTGTCTCTTCATCAGGTTCTTTTCATGATGTGCACATAGAGTTTCTGGAGCACTTGGACATAGTTAGCTGCTCTGACAATTTAATTTCTGGGCACAAAATCAGCCAGAATGTGCCCTTCCAAAATTCATCTTGAATTTTAGTATGCATACAGCTGTTCTTGGCATTCTACTCTTTTTTCACTCATTTATGACTGTCAACCACCCTAACAAAACATCTCTGCAATAAACTAATAACCTTAGTGTAATGTACTTGAAAGTTCTCGATTCAGATCTAGAAATGCATGCAGTTCAGTTTCCTTTAGATTTTAATTCTTTTTTTACATTAAAGTTTATACAGTTTTATAGGGAAGGTCGTGGTGTAGTAACCTGAAGTCTTTAAAGTTTAAACAGCCAGAGTGCTATGAATCCATTCTACTATTTACGATGCATAAAGAAACAAATGACACTGTTGCAGGTACAGCAAGCTGTTGCACAAGCAGCTCAACAGTTGCAACAACTTCAGAAACAGCAGCTTCAACAACAGCAACAACAGAACAGCGCTCATCAGAATCACCACAGCAGTCCCTCTAATCATCATTCCCATCATCACTCAGCCCTAACACAGCATCATAACAGTGTGAACCATCACAATCATCAATCACAACTGCCTCCATCAGGCCCACATCATCACATTAAAACTCCTCAGTCACGTATCTTAGAACCATCACCAGAAGAAACCACAGACCTGGAAGAACTAGAACAGTTTGCAAAGACATTCAAGCAGCGTAGGATCAAGCTTGGTTTTACACAAGGTGATGTTGGACTCGCAATGGGGAAACTCTATGGGAATGACTTCTCACAGACCACTATATCGAGGTTTGAAGCTCTGAACCTCTCCTTCAAAAATATGTGTAAGCTAAAGCCTCTTCTTCAGAAGTGGCTTGAAGATGCTGACAACTCACTCAACAATCCAAACTCCTTGACTAATCCTCTAACAACACCTGAAGCCATAGGAAGACGCAGAAAAAAGAGAACTTCAATTGAAACCAGTGTAAGAGTAGCACTGGAGAAGGCATTCCTCCAGAATCCCAAACCTACATCTGAAGAGATTGCATTACTGGCTGAGAGCCTCACCATGGAGAAAGAAGTGGTTCGGGTCTGGTTCTGCAACAGGTGTGTTGATGCGTTTTGGGGTTACCTGGATCTCCTGTTCTGTAGGTTTATATCTGAAAGCAGGCTGAGTTCTAGATCACAAGATATTCTGGTATCCTTTTACCAAGAACATTCTGTGAAGCTGAGAATATTCTTGATACAGTCATCAACATTACATTATCATGTAATACCATTGATATTTAGCCATTGATTCTTTTATTTTCTGGTAAACATATTTCAGCCTTTCATCCTTCATCATAGTTGTATCATGAAGATGGCTAAAAGTACAAAATACTTTGCTAAAAAATAAAAGACACAGTCACTAATTGGTGACAGCATGGCACACCATAGCTTACAATAACACAACATCATGGAAATGTATTTAAGTCAGATGTGTCACAGAGATTCAGAATTAGACAGGTTATCTCAGTCAGCAAAATGACTGGCTAAAGGCTGTATAACTGGGGTTTGAATCCCACCAGGGCTGGGGACATTGTTCCTTGCCTCCTCTCCAGGGACAGAAATGAAGCTACTTACTCACTTTTTGCTGGTGCTCACCTAAGAATGCATGAAGCTTTATATTTATTTCCCCACGCTTCTTACATAGTGTGGTGCTTAAACACAGGGATAATTTTACTTTCTAATGCAGAATGTATCCATAGTCAGTACTAATGACGCATAATTTGGATGCTAGCATTTCAAATCAGAATGTTCTCTATGTTCAGCAACTACAAAGAATATCAAAATGTATTACAACCTACAACCTTCTGGGTAACAATGACATGTAGTTTTGATAATGCCCAGTGTTTGGAGGGACCTCCTTCTTCAGGGTCCAAGAGAAACCAGCAGAAGCAAGCAACAAGATGGAGAAGCAGTATGTGGGGCTGTCTTCAGACTATACAGTTTTAGAACCCAGAAGGCTGTATTGTTAATAGTCACCACCATGAGAACCTCCAGTCCAGCCTACATCAACCAGTGGCTGTGAGATAGATGCATTTTAAAGATCTGCCTTCTACACCAGAATATTTTCTGATGTTCAAAGTGAGGGATCCAGTATTTGTTAGTTATGGATTGCCTTTTATCTAATTATAGCGTAGTGTCATAAGCTGATGGATCTAAGTTTGAACCCCTTTCATGACTTCATTTTGTATGCGTGGTATATGAACACAGATTTCATACCCCACAGAAAACACATTGCATCTCTATGAAGGTCAACCGCTTAATGCTGTGTATGAAAAAAAAGTGCTGCTTATTGTCAGAATCACATGAAACACACAACTACACTCTGTTGGCTGAATGCAGAATTTGAGTGTGTTGAAGCATGTGGTATAAAGGGAAAACTAGTCATTGAAAGATTAATATACAGAATAAGCGGCTGATGCCTATTACCGAATGAACTCCCCACTTCCTACAATACAGTGCGGTTTACTGATTACTTTCTTTGGCTCTTTTGCAGGCGTCAGAAGGAGAAGAGAATCAACCCTCCAAGTGCTGCAATGGGAAGCCCAACCGTCTGTTCAGTGGCTGGTCCAAATCCTTCCAGTATGTTTGCTTCTCTTGCCAACTCTCTGGCAGGAGGATCACTGTCAGCAATAGGAAGTCCAATTTCTTTAGTAACATCATCAGCTCATAGCTTTGTTGGATCTGGAGGACCTCCGAGTGGACCACAGGCACCTGTCCTCAAGACCGAATGACTGTTCCCTTCAGGTCCAAGATGAAGCACATCAGAGTTGCTGCAAGGACTGCCCACAACTGAACATTCTACTTATGTATGTTGGAGTGCAGAATTATATCAAACTCTCATACCTCGCTCCCGTATCCATTCCCAACAAACATTAGAACATTTCATGAAATGAGGGTGAGATTATATCCATGATTGATAGTTGTATCGATGATGAGAATATAGGAAATATTGACAGAGTAATTCCTTTACTTATAATGTTTACACAAAACATATACTTTTTGTGGTTAATGAACTTGTTCATTTTTAAATATTAATGGAATTTTTAGAAATGTGATCATTCGCTTTCATCATCATCATTTTTAAAGTGGAGCTGAATTCCACCCAAACATACCCTCAGTATCTGTGAAATGTTCACCATTATTAATAATTTAATAACCTCACATTACTTGCCCAGCAAGTATAGAACAGTTAAGATACTGTATTTGCATGAATTAACAACCAAAGAGATGAATGATAATGACAAGAAAAGTGAAGATAAACACGATCAGTGAAAACAGTGCAATTTATCCGGGCCATGGCTTCTTCATGAACATACCATAAAATAACCAAAAATTTATAAAGAGAATATGAGATTTTGGAACCTCTCAGCAACAAATTAATGTATTTACTCATGTAGTTGTCTCTTTTCTTTGCCCAGTCTTTTACTTTAAAACAAGGTTGACACAGTTGCATGTCTTGCCACATAGTATGAGAACGGCCATATAAAAATTAACGGAGTCCTCAGATAACAGAATTTTAAATATATTTACTAGTTTATTTTTACAGACTGCTGTGTAACTTTTAATTCAGTCTGTACTTTTCATTATCATATTTACTCATTTTGCAACCATCCTTTCACCCACCACAGATGCCATTTTCGGTCCATATAGCCATAGGGTATGTGTATAAGAATCGGAATCATTTTTGTGAATTTGTAAAAGGATAAAGTTGCAAATTCCCCACCCACATTGTCACCAGCAATAAAATGTGGGTGCTAACCTCGTCATAACGCTGAAGACAGACTCAGGGAAATGGAATCATACAACATTCCCCATGAAGAAGAAGTTTACAACCATGCACTCAGTGAAGATGTGTTTCTGACAGCAATTTTGGTTGCACAGTATATTCTCCTCTTTCATTTCCTGGCCCACACTACAATAGAGACTGCACACTACTACTGCACAGCACCTTAGCACGTGATGAATGCCACCCAGAGGAAATGCCGTGGTTTGCTCACAAGCTCATGATTATGTGAAGGAATACTTTTCATTCATTCATTCATCCATCTGTAATCTGTCAAGATGACAGGTCCAGAGTCTTTTCCAAAACAGTTCCTCCACTTGATGCGATCTAGAGCTTTCTCCTTCAAATGAAAATATCCTCTTCTGTCCCCAAGGTCATCCAGCATCTTCTTACATCTTCTTCCTCGTCTTCTGGTCACTTATATCTGCCCCTCTGTCTTTCCTTCAATAACTTATTTTAGAAGGCAGTTACCGCGTAAGATATGACCAATCAATTAGCCTTCCGCTTTCCTATTTCGTGTAGGATATTCCTCTGCTCACTGACTCTAATTAACACTTCTTCATTTCTCACATAATTGGTCCAACTGATCTTCTCCATCCTTCTCCAACACCACATTTTGAAGCTTTCCAGGTGTTTCTGATCTACTGCCCTAAGTGTCCAAGTTTCAGCTCCATACAAAGCGATGCTCCAAATGTAGCATTTCACTAGTTTCTTTCTCAAATTTAAGTCCAATTTTCTGGTAAAAAGATTCTTCTTCTTGCTAAATGCAGCTTTTGCCATGGCAATCCTAGATTTAATTTCACACGTACACCTTCCATCATCTGTTAACAGGCTACCCAAATATTTAAAACATTTCACATCCTCCAGTTGTTTTTGGCCTATCTTTATTGTGACTGGGGTTGGTTGTCTTGAAATTTTCATTACTTTTGTTTTTTCCACATTCATTTCCATGCCATGAATACTTTTATGATTCTAAATTACCCACTGAAATTTCATTAGGCATTACACTGTTATTAAGAATAATAGGGCTTATCAGAACATATCCATCACCATATTGAATTTTTCATATACTATGTTTTACCTTCCCCTGGTCTGCAGTCTTATTACACAGAGTTTTCTGATCAAAGCCAAAATCGAAAACATGGTTGGTACTGGTAGTGTTTAAAACTCACGTCTTTGAGCAGCTATGATTTAGTTGCAAAGCCATACTAATCACATTGCTAAAACTATCTTCAAGGCCAGTTTATGTCATAACATTATTTATTCCACAAGAATTGTGACTTTCAACTTTTAGCATGTGTATCTCCATCATGATTGGTGCTAAACAGTGACTTTGAATGCTTTATAGTGCACTGAATTTTATAAAACGTTAGAAGCACATAATCTTATATTAAAGATGACAGATATTCGCCTTCTCACAGTTTAATACATGAGTTACCTGTAGTCTTGTGGAATGAATGATGTAATAGTAATCTGTTTTGCATAACATCAAGTAATATGTAAACTGTCTTCCTTCCAGTGGTCAGTTAAGTAGGGAGAGTTTACATTATGTCAAATCTAGGTTTGAAGGGAATAAACATTGTATCAAGGTATAATATGTTCAGTACTCACAAATTGTTTCCATGTGAAACTGTAAAATGTTTATGTAAAACCCATCACTGGAGGAATACAAAATATGAAGAGCATAATGCTGTAGAATATCTTCTGTTGATACTGATTGTGAATGAAGAATTCATGAATTGTAGACAATTTCCAAGAGTATCTATCATGACAAGTATGGGGGAAAAAAAGACACTGAATATAACCTTAATCTTTTCATGTCTGCCCTACTAATTTCAATTCTCAGTGCCATTTGGCAAACATTTGATGAGAACGCTGAACATCATCTACAAAGTGAAATGGTTAAGAAACAGTGAGTCACCCCGAGGGACAGAGTTGAAAGATTACCAGATGAGAATACATAAATGTAAGTAACTGTTCTGTGAGCTGAATGAAATAGCAGCTTTCTTAAAGGGGGGCTCCCATTTTATTTGGGCTTCTGTTTCTGGAACTTACTCTAATATCCGTATTGCACAATACCTTCTCTCTAGCCATTTGGCAAAAACTGAAATTTAGGTTCTATGTCCAGATGTAGAAGTTAGAGGAGACAAATTGAGGCTTATTGTTTAGTTTGTTAGAAGGAAGAATAAGAATTATAAATTTATAGAAATTATGGAAATTTCCATCTTCACAACTAGATATTTTATATTTATTTGTTATTGCTATATGTTTAGGCAGTAGAGGCCATATTCAGGCAAATGGAAGGTTAATAATTACTTACAACAAATATGCACATTGGCAAATGTTCACATGTTAATTCAAGCCAAAGTATGCTACCTGCATTAGGTAAAATATATGGTTAAAATGGGGTAAGAGAGGTAAGTATCTACATCTATGCAATTTATCTTTGAAAGACCAGAGCCACAAAGTGTTAGTAGGAAAGAAAGCTCTTAACAAATAAGATCTGTCAGTGTTCTTTGATAATATAATCTCATCATACTAAAAATGTCCCTTGTCTTCCTTGAACTCTTCAATTAGGATAAACTCAAATGCTGAGCGTACAAAGACCAATTGCTAAGAAAGGATAGAAGCAGGTTGATGCAGTATGATTGAGAGAGGGAGAAATATTATTGTCTCCTACTCTGTGCGTGCATTTGTGAACTTCATTCCTTATTCAATTTTCTACAAAGGGACATGAATCGTTTCTTGACAGAGGACACCCTCTAGGAGCTGTCTGCAAATCTATAAAATATGGCTGGATCGGTGACAAAATGTTTCTCGAAAGATTACATCACTCTGTCAAAACTGTTACACCCTCTTCTCATGTTCCAGTTCTCTTGTTCTGTTACAATCCACATCTGTATATGCATATTTGTGTATATCCATATTCCTTTACCAGTGTATGAATCAAACAGGAAAACATTGAAGGAAGGTGCTATTTCAGAAGATGAATATCGACTATTAAATGAAATTAGAACTACACAGAATTGGGAAGGTAGAATGCAGTACTGTGTTTGAAGGAATTCTCATCAGCCCAAGATCAATAATTGATGGAGCCACAAGAGAGGTTCAGACCACAGTTGGAGTACCACTGTCACAGGAAACAAGGAGCCCGAAGGAAAATATATTCCTTTAGACTTAGAAGGGAAATGTGAGGCACTGTGGTACAGTTCTGGATACTAGACATTGGATCCTTAATTGCATTTTGTTGATAGTGAGTTGAGTGATGTCACTTGAAATATTGATAGTGGAATTGATAACAGTTTGTAATATATTTTTTTGAAATGTTTGTTATACTATTTTAAGTGATGTCACAAACAAAGACAAACTTGTCCATTTGTCTCCTACTTTGGCATTAACTTGAAACTAATTATTATTGTAAATTATGAAGCCATTTTATATTCCCATATTTTATTTGTGTATTGTACTTTATGCAAAGACTGTTTTCATTTAAGTAATTTCATGTTTTATGTTTATAAAAATATGTAGTTTTTAAATATGTGTACATATGTGTGTAAATGGTAATTTCTTTGGAAACCATCAAAGGCAAAAGATCTCCTGTATTTAGAATCTTTTCTTTCACTTAAAAACAAGTGAAGCTTTTATATTTTCAGCAACAGTTAAAATCATCTTCATTTTCATTGTAGGATAACGTTTCTGCTAACTTTTGCAGATGTGATTATATGATCATTGTTAAATTTAATAAATGAGACCAAAATATGTTATTTCCAAAGATAACAGGGAACAGTATCAGATCTCAAATATGGCTTATTAGTAAATTATTTTGAACCATGACTTTAATATGATGTCATAAATAATACTTTGATTATTTTAATATTGGTTTCATAAACGATGTCTGTCTTCCAAAAAGAATAAGTTCCTAAAGTTCTACTTTTTAAAGTGAGTGACTTTCAAAAATGAGTTGACACATAGCATTCTGCCATAATATTTGAAGATTTTGAGACATATAAATGCACTAAAATTTTCTCAGGTGACAGCTATGAGAATGCTGAGCAGAAAAGCAACATTTTTTAGACAGGATGTATCTCCGTATCTCCATTGTCATGGTCAATTCACGTCATGACCATACGTTGCATCTAAATACTATAAGACAGTCAGTGGTCATGTGTTAGATGATAGAATGACCACATCAAGATGAGGGACCTTCACTCCTATTGTAGACTGACTTCAGCGATACTTAAATTGTGGGCTGGTCTCCTGTCTGTCAGCTATCCCCCATCCATTGTTGCTTATGTCATCTGGCTATACATTGGCTTCACAGCATCCGTATGGCCAGATTCTCCACTTAGCTTCAACAATATCCCTTGTTCTTCATCAGTGTTTCTTAACTGATGTTATTTATTCTATTCACAGTAGAATATGTTATCTCTGTTTTCCTGCAGTCACACAATCACTGACCACATAACATACGCTTCTGTCTGTACTCGTTATCTCTGCCAAGACCATCTGTGACATAAAGAATCTTAATGATGAAATTCAGCACCTATGGGAAATGCTGAGACAAAACAGTTACAATACAATAAACTTAACTGAGCTACGCATCATATATGTGGGGTATCATCACAAAAGGAGAGGTCAGTTGGTGTGACCTCAAAGCCATTCCAACAGATTACATCAAACAACAGGATTCTCATAAAATTTGACAGGAAAATGGTAAGCATCCTGCTGAGGAAATTGTGTGCTTGTGAAGGTCTGTAGAGAATGAGTTGGGACTGAATGAGGTCTACAGCATCCCTATGTGTGGTACAGTATATTAAGTGTAAGTGGAAAATCCACTGAGGCAAGATGCAAGGAACTTTCCTCACATGTACATCGGTATGAGTCAGACAAGATCACAGTGGTCATTCCTGATACTGAACTGCACCGTCAGACCATTGAAGTCCAAAATACCAAGATATTGGCCAAAGCATTGTGCTACAAGGATCAATTTTATGATGAGAGAAAAAGGCATGTAATGTCAATACAGAGGATGATTTCAAGATGAAACCTGGCAATGAAGTTACTAGACTTCTCCGACTCAGACAGGTTGGACAACATCAACTGGGATAAGCCTGCTGATGAACAACCGTTTTCCAGATTAAGCAACACTGAGTAGGCTGGCAGGGTCATTATCTAAAGTAAGTGTGGAACCTGGCTAACAAGGTACTGTGACACCCCACTGTGATCAGGTTAAGCAATGCCGGGCAGACGATCTTCAAAATCAACTCTGAACTGGGGCTGTAATGCAAATTTGCA